ATGCCGCGATAGGTGTCGTATTCCTATAGGTAGATAGGATCAGAATCAGCTGATGCAAGCTTGACTCACGTGACCTTCCAGAACTAACGCTAACGCTTAATTTATCACAAATTTGTACATTTCAGTGCTGTTTAGCAGACTTGATATGTAGATTTTGTCTCTCCAAATATTATAAATGCACTTATTATTAAATAGAAAACAAAAAAAATGTAGTTAATTTACTCCTATGTGTTTCAAACACATAAAGTGTCCATTTTTATGCTCATTTAGAAGTTCATACTTTGATTTTTTTGATTTTTTTAAATAGCTGATTCATTCAGGAATGAAGTGTCTCACTTTATGAATGGGCCATTGAATCATTGGTTCACTCGATTCTTTCAAAACGCTGTTTCCTTCAGAAACCATGTGTTTTGCTTGGAGATGCTGCTGTGGCTTTAATAGTTTGTATTTGCGTTGAGCAAACTGAGCAAAAACAGACAATATTGTGTCTCAAATATAGCACAATATCCAGTTCGCATTTATTGAACTGTTGTAGAAAATCAATATCACATTTGCACTCGTGCTATTTGGGACAAAAACAGCACTGGTGTGATATTGCACTCGTTAATTGTGTTAAAAAGTAATTAATTAGATTAACGTGTTAAATCGACAGCCCTAATATTATAACATATGTTGGAAACTTAAATGAGACACTTAGAGAGAGAAGATGAAATAGTATCTCCAGTGTATTCAGTAGCATGCTCCATCACACAGTGAGTATTTGCCCTGCATCATGTTCGTCACCAATCAACTGTATGGGTGTGTTCAACTTGAAGCGGCATTGCGCAGACCGATCGGAGTATGACATCAAAGTACCACAAGCAGATGACTCTGCATGCTTTCATGCAGAATGCTTTTCATTACTTTGATGTCAAACACTGATCGGTCTGCCCAGCACCACTTCAAGTCAAACAGACCTCTTGAAATGTAAGATGACGTACATGTGGCAGGGATGGGTGTGTTAATTGCGTTAAAAAATTGAACGTGTTATTTTTATTTCCATTACTAATTAATTAGATTAATTCGACAGCACTAATTATAAGCATTTCTACAAAATACCATTCAATATTCCATGGGTGTGCTGTCTTAGGCTGAGACTAACATGCATAAGACAGCCATCCTCACCCTGTTCATGTTTATTGTTTCAGCAGCAGTAGATGATGAGTCATTGTATTCAGCCTTGCTTTACACTCGTCGCCGTTGCCTTTCATGTTTGCGTTGTGGTTATTGGCTTTGGCTCCAGTTCTCAACAAATAGCCCGATGTGGTTTACAGTCTGAGCAGAATTCAAATTGCATGTTGTGTTTGAGTGGGATATGACTTTAAATCATTGATGGATCCATAGAAATTGGAGGCCATATTTGATGCTGATGTTTAGGGTGAAATATGCTAGTGGTCGTCTATCTACTTGTAATCATCATCATAATCATTCCTCATGAGGTGTTATTGTCCCATTTAACATTTCAGAATCGTTTCAAGGATTCGATATGATGAATGGTTTGATTGTCACTGGATTTGAATGTTGCTCTAAAACCAAAAATCAGTTCAACAGTAGCATATTGCTAATGTAATGTTTGCTAAACAAAGGCCTTTAAAATAAATAAATGCATACATACATAACCAACCAAATGGGGGAAGAAAATAGTATGATCTTTTTTAATATTGAATTAAAAAAATAAAATACTTTGTTTTATCTATTTATTAAACATTTTGGATTCTTCTTCACAAAGGATAAACACAATACTGCTTTAGTATATTATATTAAAATTATTAAAATCATACAATGGATGCTGCTTTATTGGGACC